GATCGGAGGGCAGAGGGCAGAGCAAACGCAACAAGCTGTGCTTAGCGGGGGCTCTGTCCATGTGAATCCTTCCATTCAAAAGGTTCGGACTAAATTTGGTAAAAAGGTTAACACTAACAGCGTAACAGTTTCGTCCATCGACTTCGTCAGCGCCGTTGTTTCATCGGGGCATCAATCGATCGATTATAGCTCAAATGTTTTCATTGTACTTGTTTTAAGTTATGAATACAAATACATTCTTAATGTTTATGGTTTTTTCGGAGTTGTTATAGGGACCCTCCCACCTTAACATTAGATTTGGTTGAGATAGCCAAAATGGGGTCCCTGGCTCACAATTACCGGTTTCGGCACTCACAACATCGAGAAATGCCTTAAATCGGAAATATTGAATTTCAAAATTGCAGCATTTTGATTCAGAGGGGCTAATGCATAGGAATACCCCTCTGAATGTGTGACGTCAACGCAGATATCTAACGATTTTTAAATGTTTGACTAGAACGTTTTGTAGCACGCGGTGGTATATGCTGCTTTGCGCGCAAGAAGTGCCGCACTTTCAGCTGCCAAACTATTGCTTCCAAATAAAGTCGCTAGGAACAGCGGAGATCCCAAAAAGTAAACAAAAGTAAAAGTCTAATATCTTGAAAACCGGTGAATATTTTTCGGTGAAATTTGGTAGATATTCGTTTTCGCTCTTTCTGAACCGAGCGACATCACTTTCATGCCAATTCATAAACTTTTTTGAAGGTGGGAGGGTCCCTTTAAGAGGATAAGTACAAATATTACATTTATTCAAATATTTATAAATGTAATATTTGTACTTATCTTCTTGAACAACTCCGAAAAAACATAAACATTACTTACATATCCTGAAGAAAAGCTTTTTAATCATGACAATCAAGTCATATCTCAGATACATTCTTTCCAAATTTCAAAAAAAAAAAATCATGAAAAAGCTATGAGTGGTAAACTGTGCCAAAGATTAACAAGATATCTCAAAATTTAAATCCAAATAGAATAAATTACCTCTTATTCATTGGACTAAATGACAAAGTCATGTTTTCAAAAGCAATTGTTGAGAGCTGGGAGCAACGAAAGAAAATAAAAACTGCAACATTGGAATCCTGAGCTCAAACTACATTTGGAACTTTCTTCTTGAAAGTTATCTTCTTCAAAATTTGACTTTTTCACCTGACCTGGAGCTGACCTTGGTACTAAACCTCAAATTAATTTGGTCTCAAACGACAGACGGCACTTCGAATTTCATGACTTTTATTACCAAAACTGGCCACAAAGAACGCTCCACGTCATTAATATGAATATGCTTACTTTTCACCATTCATTTCACCTTGACCTATATCACGTGACCACACAATTTAAAATTCAGGATCGCTTTGATTTGTCGCGGTCCCATATAACCCAAGCCCCAACTGACTTGCTCGGCACCTTGCTCACCTGCCCCTAGTGGTGAACCAAATTTGAACGCAATTGGCTCTGCCCTTCTCAAGATCTGTAAGCGACCCTTGCACGTACGCACGTGCGTTAACACCCAACTCTGCCACAAGGCCATGCATTGCCTGGTGGGTGCCTACTTATATGCAAGGTTTCAGTTCAATCGGCGCAGTAATAACCAAGTCATGACAATGACAATAAAGCCGACACCTCTTCACTTTGCATGTCGCACGTGCAATGGGGGGAGGGTCACCCACAAGCATCGGGAACATTTCTTTACTCGGTAGAAGGGATGAAGCTATTAGCTAGCCTACAAAAAAAGACCGCAAGAGAATCGGTCCAGTGGTTCCTGAGAAAAAAGGCTCTCAAAAACGTTATGTAAGCGGAACAACTTCGACACCCCTGTCTTGGCAGTTGGTATGTGGCACGCGCAGTGTTGGTCACCCATATGCATCGAAAGTAGCGAAGTTCATGATTACAGGGATGGATCTATCTGATGCAGGAGAACGCTTATCAATCAGTCCAGCAATTACGGAGACATAAGATCGTGTTAAGCATCGCGGTACCGAGCCGGGGAATGCCGCTTAAACTGATATTTTTTCCATTAAACACGGATATACTCGCTGCGCTCGCTCGTTTCCTTCCTCCCGCGTACAGCAACACATAATATCTCCCTCAGATAAGCTCTCTTATAATTTGGGACCATATGCGAGGCAGGTCAGCCAACCACTCTCCATTCGGTTGTCACAAGATCACAATGGCCAGTACCAGCGAAAACTAAAAATGTCACGACTTACGACTGTATGGAATGAAATGGTAAAAGTGAGAAGAGAGGTATCAAGAAAATGAAAAGAGCAATGCAGAGTTAGAGAGAAAATTGCTAATTTAAGCATAAGCCTTAATTTGTGCTCACAAAATATAACAAATACGATATTTCAAAAACAAGAAACAAAATAAATGCTTAACCTTGTGTAACATTTTTCCTCAAATTTTAATGCTCCGAAGAAACCATGCGACTCGAAATGAAAACAACAAAGTGAATCTACGTTCCAGCATTTCATTTTTTCCCAAATCCATTGCAGCTTTAAATGGAAGCAGAATAAATCAACCAGCAACATGTACCAAATAACATAAAAACAACTCAAGCAGCATAACTGAAAACTCAGTGTCATACAGAGAGCTCTTAAAATGCAGCTCAAGACATTGAGCATTAAGACAGTCTTACAAACAAAAGCAAGATTAGATCAAACAACAAACAGAGAGGGAAGAAAACCAGAGTAGAAGAGAGAGGGAGGGAGAGAGAGAGAGAGGGAGGGGAGAGGGAGAGGGAGAGGGAGAGGGAGAGGGAGAGGGAGAGGGAGAGAGGGAGAGGGGGAGAGGGGGAGAGGGGGAGAGAGGGGGAGAGAGGGAGGGGGAGGGGGAGAGGGAGAGGGAGAGGGAGAGGGAGAGGGAGAGGGAGAGGGAGAGGGAGAGGGAGAGGGAGAGGGAGAGGGAGAGGGAGAGAGAGAGAGAGAGAGAGAGAGAGAGAGAGAGAGAGAGAGAGAGAGAGAGAGAGAGAGAGAGAGAGAGAGAGAGAGAGAGAGAGAGAGAGAGAGAGAGAGAGAGAGAGAGAGAGAATACCTATGAACTCTCTCAACAATTAGATTTGTCCCATACATACTGATACATCAACTCTGGCCCAGCTGAAACACTGCTCACTTCATTGGAAACCAAACTTTTTTTTTTGCTTGTTTGAGATAACAACCACTCAAACATTGGGCCAGTCAAATGCCAGGTATTAGTTTGGAGAAAATGATAGCATGCCACTGGGTCTGAGCAAAAATGCAATGAGTTGCACATCAATCTTATCAAGGTCCATTGCTTGCTACTAGAGTGATGAGGAGTGAGGAACCCAGCCCCCAGCAACCTATGTACCTCCCTAAGTGTTGATTTTAAAAAGCTTTCAACAGTCAACTATGACAGTCAGCAGGTGGCAATAAATTATGGCATCATAGTTCTAATGCATTGGTCTGGAGCCTCTACAATGACATCAATCATCAAAGGCTGTCATATTTAAGCAACTGCCCATGCTCAAAATAGGATGTAATGTCAGCGGCAAACATATTTATTCATGGTTTGCATTACTTAAACTTTAGTAAGTTTTACAACATCGTAGATATTTAATGACTATAGGAGAGACACCAGTAAGCATACAGGCTGGCCTGGTATGGACATGAAAATTACCATATACCTGCTGTGAATAGGTATGTAGTACTATCATAGTTTAGTAACATTAGCAAACATACTCTATAGCTAAACTCTGGTGAAACTTAATGGGCTATATGCATGGTGCTTTTGCCAGTTTTCTTTTAGTTGAATCTTAGAATCCATTAACAACTTGGAGCTCATTATTATACATAATGAGTTATGCTACTTGTTTGCACCTATTTTGATTCACAATCAAAGAACAATTCTACATCAACATCTGATAATGGTAAAGGACAATGCATTATATAACAGAAAGGTAAAAAATAATGGTTCCTTTTCTTGTTAAAAAAGCACAGATTTTACCATAACAACAATTACTGCAGAAGTAGTTTGTACCTTATGACCATTAAAGATGCAAAAAAAAGGCAATTTTGAGGGCATGAAGCTGGCTCTAAATGACTTCATCATTCAATTAATCTGCAAGTGTTGATATCTTAATTTTTACAAAATAAGTGATATGATATAATCACAGCAATCCTTTTCTATCCACTATATAATTTATCCATGTTATTCATTATAGAAATGTGAATAACAAATGACAGATCAGCCAAAACATTTTTTTTTTAATCAATCCCAGCAGGTCACATAACAGACATCTCAAAATGGCATACTTTTTAACTCCAAAAATAAGCACTTGTGTACCTATTTGGTCAAATTACCTACCTGCCTCCTGAGAACTTAATTACCTTGACTATTATCATTTATTATTGTGCTGCATCATTACCGACACAGCTCACAGAGTTGGAAAGCAACCCTTCTTGTTTGTTAATTAGAACTTTAGGGCGTGCCGACTATTATGGTCATTTTGCACCCATAAAAGCAGCCCTACATATCTAACTAACAGAGAAGACAAGCAGCTTATCACTTTTTTGTGTGAATGATCATCTGGCAATTATTTCATTGAGAGGTTGTCAAACAGGATGATAAAGTGAGCTGCTACAAGAACTGTTAATCACATTCATAATGGAGAGATGTAACAGTGTTGTCTACCCTAAGGGGTCCACGGACACCATTAGACTTGACAGTGGTGATGCCCCAAGACCACCAGGATCAAGCGGTGACATAGCCCACCCCAATACATAACAATATACTCATATATTTTAACAGTCTTTGCAGGAACCCTTCTTGTTTACAAAGGTTAACAACATCACATCATGTAGATGGTTCAACATCAGATGATCAACGCAGCGGACCCATGTCGGCAATGAATGAGAGCCCACAGCATTACTGGTAGCAGTAGCTTTAGAGTTAAAACAACATAATCACAAACATTCAATTGTGAGGACAGATGGTGGAAAACGTACCTCGATGACTAGTCTGACAAAAGCATTCCTATAGGACGTCTTCCGCGATTCTTCACTTTCGGCTAGCGCGCCACCCACGCCGCAAGACGTAGCTGGAGCGGATCCTCGTCCTGCGGTCGATCACCACAGGAGACGGTTCTGCCCAATGACAAGAGCACTATGATGAGACAGTAGTAAATTATCCGTAAAATATGATGAATTCGACTCCGAAAAAACAATATCAGTTTAGTTTCTACGATAAAATTTATCGCGTCCCCTCAACCCACGCCGAAAAATATTAAACAATGGCGGACGCAAACAGTTAGTCTTGAAACCTCTAAGGAGGAAGAGACCCTATGACAGTAAATGACGTCATAGAAATCCGAAATATTTACAGGCCTGATTTTAATTGGTCAAAATAAGTCCATTTCTCAACGTGATTCGCTAGGTTTTTGACGTCATCAGTCGCAAGTAAATGTTGTAACGGTCATGGGCAGGAATTTTAGCCTTGGCGATATGGTGCATGGCCTTTGGCTACCGCGTAAATTTTTCGTCTAGAGGTCTAGCATGGGTCTAGCCGTGGATTGAAGCGTTGACCAATCATTTCTTTTCTTTTTCAGCCATTTTCCGTTATTGAAAGAGGGTAGCATTTAAGATACTCTCTAATGCTCTGAAGAAATTCATTATCATCAGTACCACCAGTTTATTCTTGGCGGATTACTTGGCGAATCATGATGATCCCTATCATACCCCTATGTATTCCTAGGCGCAGCTTGGGGCGCAACCCAAAAAAAAAAAAATATTATTTATCAAGGGCATCTACAGATCGCTTATTTGGCTTTGTGGGTTGGATAATTTTCCTTACCTTCAGTAGCGGCGGAACACCTTCAATTAAGGGGTGGGCGAAATCCGGCCCCCGCCGAAGTTAGTTGGTAGCACTGCTGCTCCACGGCGTACATTTCCTACCAGCCCATAGGGTTTACATGTTAAATGGCCTGTTTTCGGCGAGCGATATCTCGGTCAACCTTTGAAGGAATCAATGGTTCTTAGTCTCAAATGATAGATCGATGAATTTTCTTTCGACAATTCCTCTACCATTTTTCACGAAACCCAGCCGATCTTCTACGGCGTACACTCGCGGATCCAGCCACCTGTCATGGGAGGGGCATTTTAGCGAAGGGTCCCAAGGTAGGGTGCCCCTAAAACTAAAAACTCTTCGGATTTAGGCTACTATTTTTTGGGATTTGCCGAAATTTATTTTTAATTTAAAAATAAAAAAATATCTTCAAATTGAGCCTCATGCCGTTTTGGGCCTCCCCCCAAAAAAAATCATCGGAAATATGACCGAAGTTTACATGTGTATGTACCTGGAAGGAAAATTTAACTTTTTAATTAATTGAAGTTGGTTTTAAAACGATGTCTGATGCGTAAGCATCCAATTTCGACAAGATTATGGGATTCTGAAGAAAATTTTGAAATTTCGAACCTCAAAAAACGCCAAAAATAACCTATCTGGCGGGAGGGGCATACTTACATTGAATGCCCCTCCCAGATTTCTACGGGAGGGGCATTTGCCCCCAATGCCCCCCCTTGGATCCGCCAGTGACGGCGTACAGGGTAAAGATTTCTCTGCACGCCAGCACCCGCGATCCGCCTCTCCGATCGTCGGTGCGCGGTCCTCGGTAGCGCAGTCGGTAGCGTATCGGGCTACGGATCCGAGGGTCGTGAGTTCGAATCCTGGGAGCGCCGCGTGGTTTTGGCTAGAATTGAATGATGTAGATTCTTGAATGTTTGCATAATCAATTATTAATAGCTAATTGAATGTATCTGCCCACTAATCGACCCCTAAAACCTGTTATTTAAGAAATTTAAGAAATGAATGTCACGTGCGCGTCACGACTGCAAACCATAAGCGCTACCATATTCTAGTTTGAACTAACTTTTTGCTAGTCCCGACCACATATAGTAGGTTTTCTAGTAGGTATACTAGAAATTCCTACCAAAGTTCGTCCTACCCTTCACTCAATATACCCTGGGCGAAATCCGCCCCCACCCTTCCACTGCGCGGCTGCCGACTTTTGGTCCCATTCTTTCCATGCAACGACCATAGGGCTAATGTTAAAATGCCGAAATTAAAGGGGGGCACGGTGCCCCGGTGCCCTACCCGTTCCGCCGCCTATGCTTATTGCTTACCAGTTCTCTATATACCGTGGCTTACCTTACCTTATAAAGTTGGGCATCGGGATAAAAGAGGCCACTCGGCCTAATGGGCCACGCTAGCATCGAATTCGAGTGAAAGGCAATAGGCATAGGTATCGGAAACAGTGGCGGCGGATTCGATTTTGGCGTGGGGGGGCAAGATCCCAGACCGAGATGATATCATAGGTGGATCAGAAAGGTGGTTTCGAGGCTGCTGGTATATACCCATCCCAAAAAAGTCCCCAAAATCCAAAAACTCCTCGGATTTTTATTCCCTACGTACCTACTGCTGTGCATTTGAAAGTAAAAAAAAATATAATAGCTTTATTATAAGAAAACATATTTTTGTCGAATCAGGGCTTTGCGGGAAAGTAATAACTATCAATTTCCCCTCACTGGATCCGCAAATGGACGCTGTAACGATTTTTGTATCGCTGTATTAGAATAAGTTCCAACGGGAAATTTTGTGCCATAGGCCGATGGCATATCGGATGTTGAAGAACGGAACTAAACTTAAGGAAAAAGGTGAGCGCTTGAGCGCTATTTTTCAATGAGGTAACTCGGTACCATTTTCTCTGTTCATGTTACATTCGATTTCCGTTCAACGTTCCCTTGATATCATGAGACAGATATCAACTGAAGCTATAGCTCATAGCATGAGAAGACCGCTTACCATACATTCAGAGGCAAACGGTCGCAACTAAACCTATTGGGACAGCAATCCGCCAGCTAAACCCACCCCAAGAAAGTGGTTCGTAAACTAAGCTCACCGAGACGGGCTGTCTCGGTTTATACAGCAAACCACAGCGAGTTAAATAAGCCCAAACACTTGTCGGGCTAGAGTGAGGGAACGGAGGGCTAAGGCAAGGGAGCGGCGGGCTAGGGCGAAGGAACGGAGGACTGGGACGAGGAGCCAGAAGCTGTGAGTGGGCGTTATTTCATTAAGGCCTTATGGCTGAAACAGACTCTTTCCGCGTTCAGGAAATCGCATGCGAGAGCCTATTCAAATACATTATGTATAATTCTTCCCGCATCAATCGCATCCGGGAGGTGCGTGCGATTCATGCGAGCGTGCTTCCATGTATTTGAATAGGCTCGCGCATGCGATTTCCTGACTGCGGAAAGAGTCTGTTTCAGGCATTAGGGGTACGCAGACTGCGGTAAGGTCGACTATTAATATCACATCAAATTTTGACACCACGTCTGTTTACTCGAGAATCAGCCGCCAGTGATATCTGCAAAGACGACGCATATCCGACCCAGATTCAGCCGAGTCAGGGCGCCTCAGGTGGCGTGACTTTAATTTCAGTTTCACATGTCAAACGACCTGAGTACAGTCACTGCAGCCACTATTTTTATTGTGCTGTGGCTTATTTTATTGCGCTGTGACTTTGGCCGTAAATGACTTTAGCCGGTCCCGTAGCTCAGTTGGTAGAGCGTTGGACTCCGCGTGGTGAGAGCACGCGTTCCCGGTTATAACAGTCCGGGTTCGAAGCGCGACGGGCGCTTGACATTTATGGGCCTCCTGACAGGTATGGCTGCGGTTGGTGGAAGGCCGTAGCCAGGCGAAGTCAGTGAGGTGACCGGCCGTGCGTGGCTATGTGCGCACGTTAAACTTTGGACTCTAAATTCTGCCATAGAACTGGAATTGCGCGATCGGAGGGTAGAGGGCAGGGTCACCGCAACAAGCTTCGCTTAGCGTTGGCTCTGTCCTTGTGAATCCGTCCTATCAAAAGGTTCGGACTGGATTTATAGAAAAAAATGGGCATGCCCCGTGGCTGATATGGTTAATAAATGAAATAAACGAAATGAAATGAAATGGCTGGATCTATTGTGGGGCTATTATGCCGAATGACCTCGTCCATTGACTTAACAACTTTGACGTGACCCAGGGAGGGTTGAAACCTATTGAGAAGGGCTTCTTTTTGTCGCATGATCGCGCAACGTTTAGTCTACAGATGGCTTCAGGAAAAGCGATCACGAGATCCATCCATTCGTCTGTTTTGGAATGAGAGGGAGGCCCACTAATGGTCAGTGCCCCCCCCCCAAAAAAAAAATTTCCAACTTTTTTTACAAATTTCATCAGTCCTAACTACCCGCAAGCGAATGGCAAGCCCTTCCGTCTCCGATCGCCTGAGATTTGGAATTTACAAAATAGCGGTAAACGACCACTGAAGGTCGGAGTTGCGTCTCTTGCACACTTAGAATGTCTCAAAATCGAAGCTGGAAGGACAAAAAACTGCTTTAAAGCGGAAATCGTTGGCATTTAATGTATTCCAAAGTGACGGTTAGACCAACTGTATGGGCGCATAGGTACAATATTAGGTTATGGAAATTTTCCTCATGTTTAGGGCACAAATTATGGAGGGGCAAAATATACGTTTGCCACTCCTCCAAAAGTTTCGTAGGTGACGAGTCGACGACGCTTCCTCTGCCGCCCCGTATCCGTCGCCCCTAAAAGCGGCCATTTAAGGCCTGGGCTGCCGCTGCGTCACGTTGACGCTTCAAGTTCAAGTTCAAGTTCAAGTTCAAGTTCGGTGTATTGAGGACATTTCCACATAGTGGCTTAATATTTAGTCCGAGTCAGAGTACATAGATAAAAACATGACACAGTCAATATCACAGTAAATCACAATCAAGAGATAGGTATATAAAAACACGGTCCAAAGTCGGACAAACCAGACCCTCGACTAGTTCGACAGCCGGCGCAGAAACTCGGCGCGGGTTGCAGAGCCGGTGACAGCCGGCGACAGGCGGTTCCACGCCGCGGCCGCTCGGTAAGAAAACGCGCGGCGCGACGCGGACAGGCGGTATGGAGGCAGCTCGAGAGCGCCCGCCTCAGTCGACCGGGTGATACGCTTATGCTTATATTGCCTCTAAAACGAGTTTGAGGAGAGGGAAACTTCTATTGAACGCAAACGCTTGTCATTTAAGAAAGGCAACGTATGATATAGTATATGGGCATCTGATAACACCTTCAGATGATCGAACAAAATTAATATATGGCTTCTTGTCAAAGTTTTATGTCACAAATTATGGGGGGGGGGGCAAAAAGATACTTTTGCCCCCCCCACGAGTTTGCCAGGGGGGCAGCTGCCCCCTCTGCCCCCCCGAATCCGCCGCCCCTGATC